CTAATACAACGTTAGATCTTGAGTTCAATGAGTTAAATCCTCTAATATGTGGTTGTAGATGCTTAGAAGTAAATTATCCCGAGGTAAGCATCTTGGTATGCAACGTAAATAGGTTGTTTTATACTTAATGAATTCTTTGACAAAGTGCTTAGTTGCAGAGCACGATTTGAAAGAATTCACCTATGCGAACATAAAGTGTGGTCGCTTCAAGATGTTGATGGCTCGACATCTATGTCCTTGTGAAGGGGATATGGACACATGGCCGATATAGTGTCAAGATATACAAGGAAATCTATTGATTCTGTGTGTGTGTATACATGGTAGCTCAACTAGGATTACGTAGGTTCAATCGTATCGACACCTACGGAATTCGAGTCTATTGTTGTATATTACACTAAGTGAAAGTTCAATCGTAAAGACACTTTCATTTATGCGCAGAATTGTGAAGATGAATGATTAATTGCTTGATTGTCCATTGCTTATTTTACTCTAAAAATGGTGGAGGATTGTTGGTATTTTTAGAGTAAATGAATGAGATTTATTAATAATCTCTCAAGAGATTCATAGTTATATGTATTACGGATATGGTGGAAGAGTTAAATATTCATAAATGATATAATATGGATCGGTGAAACACATATGTGTTTGGCAGTAAAGTTGTTCGATTTGTGAGTGAGGTATACCTCAATTCGGGTCAAGTAGAACTCAGTCTTCATGACGAAAACGAAGTTTTCTTTACAGAAATGTAACTCGAACCGTGTTACTTTTCTGAGAAAAAAATTCGTGTTGCACAGAAATTTGACACTGCCCGTGTTAGATGGAACTCGATCTGAGTCAAAAGTCTGTGAGAAGTACTTCGTATTGTGTCAAGTGTAACTCGGAACATGACAATTAAATACGAATGATGCGATTCTTCGCGTGAAAACTGCAGATTTTGCAACTTTTGGTGATGTTCTTTGGTGTTTATATACTAAAGACGTCAGAATAAGTTGGGTATGAGATCAATTCGATTTTTGAGAGATTTTGAGAGCACTTTCAGAAGTTTCTTGCAAAAACTCTCCGAAAGCTTTCGTTCATCTTCTTCTTCACGTTTCCTTGTCTGTGCGTTCTTGATCGAGCAATTCTAGAACGTATTTCTCTTCATTGTATCTCAGAATCGTATTCCGGTAGTCCTTGCTCATAACGGATGGAATAACAGTTTTAGGAAAGTGTCTACACGCCTTGAAGAGATATCCGGTCCCTCGGTTTCGATTTCATTCTCGTTTTTCCGTTGTATTTCCTCCAGATTTCTAACACGTAAGACTACTCCAAGACCAGCATGCTTAACCTTAGAGTTCTCTCGAGTTGGGTAACTGAAAAGGTAGATGCATCTTGTTGCTATGAGTAGCTCAATTAATTCCTTTAAGTTATCTTAGACTATGTAGTCCCATACCTACACAGCCCTCGGATCCCTCTCATTCCGGTGCGTTCCATTCATCCATGTACCCCTACCCAGAAGCTCGTCAGGAGTTGTTCCTTGTCCGTGCCTCTCGCACCGGCGATCACTCCCCGTCCTCCTACGGTATCCTGGGTTATCACATTAAGCCTCCTAACCGTTGCGGTTCGATTCATACCCCTAGAATAAATTCTTCTTGGTGCGTTCGATTCATACCCCTATCTTCCCTTCCATCTATCACCTAAACCGAGTGCTCTCGGGTGCTCTGTTTTAGTCCGATTTATGTGTTGATTTCGAAGGACTCCGAGTGTCCTTTGGCCTAGATATACTCTTGAAATCTAACCATATGAATACCTTAGTGAGTCTCCAATTCAAGTATATTTCATATATGTTGTATATTATCTTATTAAGTTTGTGTGAATTATGTAATATTGTATCTAGTTCTGGTGAATTTTCATAAAGTTATCGAAAATCATCAGAATAATATTTACATATTACTCTCACATATAATGTGATACATGATACATCCAAACCGAATACATACATACGATGTACGATAGCTAAGTTTCAAATATATCCCCAATGGTTGAAGATTGAAATAAAAATTCACTAAAATTTTATTCTTATTTAATAAAACATTCTTCACAACCATCATCTGTATGGTTTGTATTTGTTACGTATCGCTTATCCAAAAATTTCCATTTAATCCAACCTCAAAATATAGTAGATTCATTGCCAAGTTTATAAAACCAAAAATTTGAATTTATATACGAATTAAGAAAACCCATTCGTGGAAGTCTGATTTTTTTTTTGTTGTATTTTTGGGATTGTGTAAATATACTCACAGAAACAAGAGTTCGTCGACCATTCTTTCGTTTCTGCTTCCTCTGGCGTTCTCGAACTCGTTCCTTTGTTCTTCGATTTTCCTCCACAAAATACATTATCTGTCTCTTGCATTCAGGTAACTAATAGTCTAATATCCTTGATTCGGTCTGGTTTTTTTTTTCCCAAGATTGAGTTCTATTTTGGAATTTCTTTGTAGAGATCTATCTTGTTGTGCCCGCCTTCTTCCATGAGCAATCATATCGATGGCGATGTATATTGGGAAAGACATCATCGGGTTGTAGTTTCTACCAAACGATAAAGATCTCATCAATCATATTCGATGGAAAGTTAACGGAGGAGTCGACAGTTTCATAATGGAGTTGGATGTGAACGGAGTAGAACCCTGGCTTCTTCCGCACGTAACCAACCCTTCGTTTGAAGAGAGGGAATGGTACTACTTTGTAAGAAAGATGAGAGACGTCAGCAGAGAGAAACATAGCCGTATGGTCAAAGGGAAAGAAATCGACTGATACATGGAAGACCACGACCAGAGAAGAAGAAATCAGAGATGGTGGTGTCATCATCGGACATGCTCATAATTTCAAGTTCGAGAAGAAAGAGAAGGGTTGGAAAGAGAAGACGAAGACAGAATGGTTGATGAGAGAGTATCGCCTCTCATCCAATGAATCTGAAGAATGGGTCATCTGCAGAATCCAACAGAAAAAGAATCTTCCAATCACTTATCTGATTGCTCAAAATACCGACCTTCAGACTTGTTAACCATTTACGGATCTGGTGTGTAATGACATCTTAATTTCTATTTTTTTCATCTTTGATTTTATCTTTTGTTAACTGGCAATTAAGTTTCAATAAAATTTATAATCATTAATTGAGATTTTATTCTAATTTAAGCGCACCTATTTTTTTTTTTCCAATTTTTCCGAAGATTTTAGGACACACTTATATTTGAAATCAAACTCGAATAAGTAATAGTTACGCTATCCGAACGGGATGGAGTTTCATGACAAAGAAAATGATAGTTTTATATTTTGAAACAACAACAACAACGAGAGTTTCTTAATTTTCACAAATATTTACAGTATTTTTGTAATTTCGTGGAATATCTGGACCATGTAACTTGGATACTTATTCTGTGTATTGGATCTCCAGTAGTTTAGCTTTGGCGGACCACCAATTTACATAGTTCAAAAACACAAAGTTTTATTTTAAATATTTGGTGATACATGTATGTTTGTAGCCAAAATAGACACACATATAATATTAAAGAATGCGAAAATACAAAGGAAAAAAAAGCAGATAAGATTATTGGTCCAATTTCTTTGTCAAAGTTTTGAAATAACTGACTTGTAATGTAGCTAAATTAATAAAAAAAAATACTATTAAATTGTGTTTACACATTTATGTATTGTGATAATTAGAGTTGAGATTATCAATGACTCTGTGCATCAAATACTTATTCCTAGGGATGAGTATTTTGGATTTTTGTTGTTTGGTTCAGTTTATTAGGTTATAAAAAATTATGTCATTTGATTATTATATTAGGTCCGATTCAATTCGGTTCCGATCTTGTTTCGATTCGATTTCTCTGTTCGTTTCAGAGAAAATAATTATTTTTTTAAAAAAAATCGGGTTTTCGATTTTTTTAATATTTGGTTCCTATATATGATCGGTTTCTAAAAACATAACTATTCATGTTTTTTTTTTTCTAATCGAATATCTTTAACCAATGTTCAAACTGATCTTGGATTCGAAATATACGTCCTCTCTATAAATTTGATGTTCGAATTCAGAATCTCACAAAGATTTCACACAACCAGATTTTTTTTTCAAGCATCAAAGCTATCGATCGATCCTGAAATAATAAGATTTATTCTCATAATAAAATAAAAATATGTTCAATGTTTTTTTGGCTACGTTACAATACTTCGCGCCTTATAGAGAGACAATATTGACCGAATATTTTATGTATCGTAAACAGCACAAGTCAATAGGCACTCGATTTCAATATTTTTGTGATTAATGACAATACAAGTAGCAAAATCTGAAGGAAATATGGAGAAAATGAAGAAGAAATAAATGAATTGTCAGGAGTGGTTGGCTCAACTGGTAAGTGGATATGCACAAAGAGTGGCTCCACCTAGGTTCGAACCCTGGCAAATCACATATTATAAAAAAAAAAAAAATGAATGGATTTTGATAGAATCGGATTAGGGTTTGATAGAGAGAAGGATAAGTAGAAGATGATGGTGAATACACATTCGCATATTCATATTCTCATAACTGAATTGTAATCTAGACATACATAATTATACACGTAACGTATACATATACACGCACATAACTATATACATGTATATATCCACACATATAAATATATACATACATATACATATGTTTGCAAACATATACACATATATGCATATGTGTATGTATGCATATATGCGAGTGTGTATATGTATTTGTATTTATATTTTGTTATTTTTATTTATTTTTTATGATGTGGTAAAGATGTGATCTGACATTTTTTTATGGGATATTAAGAAAATGTTTATATTTTGTTGTGTAAATAAAAGTTTATATATTCATTTGTCATAATTTTTTAGGGTTTTCCTAATTATAAAGGCTAGAGTTAAATATTTTGGTGAAAGATTAAGAAGAAGCATATGCCAATGTTAAATATTTTATAGAGTATAAATATGCCAACAACAGAGGGCCCTAGTCTATTTCTCTATCGTTCCTCTTCCCGGTGACGCTTCTCCTCCCCTGCACTCTTTCTGTCGTCGCCGGTACACCGGCGCTGGAGGTTCTTTCCGGCGATTCGTGGTCATTCCTCGGCGGTGGGTTCGTCTTACTTTCCTCCGTCTGATTCAGTTTTCCATCGGTCCTCGCTTTCTCCATCAATCTCTCGTACGTTGCTCTCGAGATTAGATACGAACCCGACTTCTGCGTTTTCGCGTCGGAATGAGAGATTATTCGCGAGAATGTGTGAAAAGTGGCGCGGGATTGCTCACCGTGTTGGATTGGTTACGTTCTAGGGTTTTTAGTTGGCGACAATCTAGTGGTGGATTGGGAATTGCTGTGCTTTTGTCTTGTTATCATTAGTTCCTTTTATGTCCATTCGTTCGTTAATAATGCTGGAAAGCGTGAATAGATTAGAATTTTGCGTTGGATCGGATTTATGCAAAATAGGGCTCTCTTTCTGGGGAACGTGCAGCTGTTTTGGATTGATATAGTTACCAATCCGGCATTTGGATGTTTTCCTTGAGGTTTATGTTCAAAGAGCGAATCTTTGATTCAAATGATTGAGAAGGTTTTTTTTGTCTTTGTTTGAGAATTTTTGTCGGGTGAGCTGATTTAGTGTCTTGATTAGAGTTGATCTCGTTTTTTTCTTGTTGTTTCAATGTAGTCATGTGTCCATATATGTTGATTCTCTTTGCTTGTGAATGTGAAATAGGTTCATGCTACGTCTGGAACTATTAGTTGTTTTTAGTGTCCATGCTTGGAATCTTGCCTGTGTTTCAAACCCTTTCTGTCATGTTTTTTGGTACTCTGAGTTTCAATTTTTAGGGTATTCCAGTCGGTTTTTAATGGCTGTTTGAATTTAACATTGTCAAACAGCCTTTAGCAAATTGATGAACAAAGAACTATGAATGGCCTTCACGGAGACGATGCCCAAATGCACATTGGGGAAGCACAAGATCCGATGCATGTACAATATGAGCATCATGGTTTGCACCACATCAACAATGGAAACCGTATGGTTGAGATGCATGCTGATGGTGGCACCACTGGTCGGGTGAATGGAGGAGTGGAAACAGACATTCCTTCTCACACTGGAAATTTTTCAGACAATCGTGGTGAAGTGGTTGACCGTGGTAGTGAAAATGGAGATCAGCTGACATTGTCTTTTCAAGGCCAAGTTTATGTCTTTGACAGCGTCTCGGCTGAGAAGGTGATTTCAGTTGGTGATGTGTTAGTGTCCTTAATGGTCTGATTTTTATTATATGATATGATACTCTTCAACATCTTTGGGTGATTCACGCTTTGCCTTCATGGATTCAAGTGCACGAGAATGGCCCTTCATTTTCTTTTCAATGAACTGCAGGTCCAAGCTGTGCTTCTACTGTTAGGAGGCCGTGAATTACCGCAGGCTGTTTCTCCAGCTGTAGGGCCGACAACTCCTCAGAACAATAGGGTATTTGAAAATAAAAAAGTTTGATAAGTTTCCTCCTGCTATGCGTGGCTGACTGATTAAATGAATCAGGGTTTTTCTGGTATTCCTCAAAGGTTTAGTGTCCCCCAACGGTTGGCCTCCTTAGTCAGATTCCGAGAGAAACGAAAGGGGAGGAATTTCGATAAGAAAATCCGGTACACAGTTCGTAAAGAAGTTGCCTTGAGGTACATTTATTGTTGAAATCCAGACCTAATTTTGTGAATATCTTTTGGGATGTGCCATCTTTTTTGGTAACTAGGTTTTTTCTATTTCTTCTGTGTCCTCAGGATGCAACGTAATAAAGGTCAGTTCACATCTGCCAAATCAAACAATGACGATTCTGCATCAGCAGGATCAAACTGGGAGTCAAACCCCACCTGGGGCATTGAAGGGACCGAATCTCAGGCTCAAGAGATTTCGTAAGTTAAAAAAATATGCTTTATTTTTATTCACCAAGCGTAGTATTGATCTGAACCAACTTTAAAATCTAGGGAAAGTTGTCTCCCGCTTCCAAAACGTGTAATTTTTTTTCGGAACCTCTTCATTCAACATAGAGACGTTTCTCGTCTTGACACCTAAAACCACTCATGATGTGTCTAACAGAAGCTCTGATATGTGCCTATTGATCTTCAAAGTTATTAACAGTAAGAAGAGTAGGTACTGTCATTAATATCGTAGGACCAATGCAGATAATACCCTGTTAAATGTAAATAAACATGGTGAGGGAGAAGAAGTGCAAAGTTAGAAGTTGTAAAATATTGAAAAGAAATGTGAATTATGAGATGTTCCCTTAATGAATAAGAGACGAAGACTATATATGATGTGTGATTTCTTTTTAATATGGCCAAGGAAATCTTCTAGTAGGAAACCATGGAAGTTTTCCTAAATGTGGAAGTGTCTTGTTTCTTGAAGGGTCGTATTGATGTTGGAACTGACTGACCACATTAGAAGTTT